ATTTGACATTTAATGTATAATTCCTATTACACTGACATCACATTCTAGCCATTAATTCCTTATAATTTTAATGATAAGACAATTATATTAAATACACAATTGATATGATAAGAGTATACCGTATATACAGTATATTTTTATTAGCATTTATATCATACAAATGCAAGTGTTTTCAATTCTTATCATAACATTCAACGTAAAGATATTACATTCAATTTAAGACAACAATTTTCCCTTGAATATCAATATCATAGATATTTCAATAGTATTGTCAATCACTCTCATAACGGATTTAAGGAATCTATTGAGGAATAGTTATAATCTTAAAATTCCAATCAAATGTTATTAATTTTAATTTTTAAGTCTATAACTACCGGTAATAACAGATCACACCTGGCTAATATTGATATATTGAGCAAGTAGAATGAAACACACAATTCTTTATAAATTTTAATCATAGATTATGTAATGTTAATTTGTTTTAATTGTAAATACATAAATTTCTTTTGAACCTGTGATATAAATAAAAACACTGTTAAATAAAATAATTATTTAATTATTATACTTTTACATAAACTTTAATATATTTACACAAACTTGCTATAAAAATATGTAAAATAAGTGTATTTGTCACGACTTTAATTCATTGCTTCCATCGACTAATTGTTTGTATATCTCTTCAAACCAAACAACTCGTGTGCCATAAGAAAGCCTTTATTATTAACATTTGTGGCACGACTACCGATGCCGTACGACTGACCACTACTGCCTTCTTCCAATTCAATGATTTCAATGGCATTATTATGGCTTTTCTTACGCCTTTTCACACTTAACCCGTCGTTTGTCTTATACTTAGTATTAATTTCAATGATTTCTAAGCCATGTTTGGAACTATTCTTATGAGACATTTGTGTTGCGATCGCTTTCTTATTATAAGTCTTGGGTTTCGTAAGAGATTTGTTATATTTTCTAATAGTTTTCTGAACAAAACTATTGGGCCTATGATTGGGGAAAGTCTTCGTGGGGTAAGTAGTGATGAGTGAGGGGTCGGCGCCCGACACCAGCCCTGAATGCGGGACAGCGTTGGCGGACAACAACTTTCGGGACGAGTAGACAGTGATGTCTTGGCTGTGGAAATGGAGTTCACAGACCGTCTCGTTGTCTGATATCTTGTGTCCTTTGGTGTAGAAGTTGTCATAAATGAGTGCATTATTGGAGGCGCGGACCCATTGCTCGCATCTATTCGTACAGACATTTAGTGATCAGACAACTGATGGCCAACCGTCCCATATATAGCTCACAATCAGTCCATCCATTAATGAATCATTGGTTTGGTTTGTATGCAATCGGGAGGACAGGGAGGGAAAGCCCCGGTACTGTACATTTGGGACCTGTGCCACACACATGAGACCTTGGTCATTCACTTGACCAACACTAATCACATTTGGCACGTATGTGGGCCTCGGTATAGAGCACCGGGATCTCAAGTGAGTTAATGATAAATGATTGGACAAATGGATTAACTGATTGTATGATCACTGGACATACCTCTGGCGTGATTTGTTAGGGTATCTGAAGAATGATATACTCTTGTTATCATTACTGGATGGACACCCATTGAAGGAACAGGTCTTCACTTTCCCCATCACTTATGGCACAAACTCTTGTGATTGTCTGTCCATTCAATTCAATTGATCCACAATTAAAGAGCTATTTATGAACGCTATTAACGATAATAGTCTGTAGTTTTGTGGTAATAAACAAACCATAAATCTTGTGACACAAGTGCACAGACTTAACACAGTTTGCAATGCAATGGTTTCTACAACTATTTGTGTGCGAATGGATTACTGAAGTTATGCCTTACATGTATATTCGTGACACTTTCAGTATTATAGCATTGAATGCAATAATCGGAAATTTTATACCGGTACATTTTCTAACTTTAAAATTATTTAACATTAAAACTATAGAAATGTCATTTCGATGTCTGGGAAATAATTCAAATTTGCTAAGAAATTGATAGTTAATGTATGCAAACATTTTAACAATAAAAATATAGCTAGAATATTCTGTAGGTAAGACTAAAATGATAGTACAGTACCGTAATAAGAATACATAAAAACAATTATTTATTAAAATCAAATAACCAAGTACAGTACAGTACAGGCTTGGTATAAAACGAGTGGATTATTTGAATGCAAAATTTTGAATAGTTTATAAAATAGAAAAATAAACAAAATAAAATAAAATTACAACATTTTTGGGTACATTTAAACAAATAATCGGATTATAAAT